GATTTTTTTTATTAAAATTCATTTGAGATAGAATTTTATTTATAATTTCCCAAAATTCTTTTAGAAATTTACATTCAATAAAAAAGTGATGATACGTGTCTTTAAGTTGACAAAGTTGACAATATGGGCTAGATTCGATTTTCCATTTGTGGAGATTTTCTCTATTTTGGAGAATGCAGCTTATCAATTTCCATCTAAACATTTTAAGTTTATTCAGTTTTAAATGTTGGTGTATAAACTTAAACATATATTTGGTAAAATTATAATTTATTTCTAGTTCTTTTTTCCATTTATTTATGCTAATGTTTGGAGAAATTTTTTGTTGAATGAGCAATTGATATAGGTTTTTGTGCTTTAATTTTCAATTTCAATGTTTTCTTTGTTTATATTGATAAATAATCTGTTAAAATTTACATTTGATTTGATGGATTCTTCCGTAGCTAAAACTTTTAGCCATGAGGTTGGTATTACTTTTTTGACTATCGAAATTTCTGAAATCCAATTTTTAGTGTTTTGCAGTTTTTTAAATATTTTTTCGTGGGCAATTTTTCCATCGTCGTCAATAATATCATTAAGATAAATGAAATCACTGTGTATCCAATTATGCATAATAAGCGGCTTGTTTTGAAACTTGATAAATTTATTACCCCAAATAACTTGCTTTCTTATCTCGACAAAGTTTTTCAGTTCTGTGTTTTTCGTTTCATGAATTAAAATCCAACTTTTTATTATATCTAAGTAAAAATCTGGAATATCCTTAGTTATATCTAGTTTTTTTAAGGTTTGGTTATTTAAGTTCATTCTAAAAATAAGGAAATTTTCCCCTAATTTATTTAAAAATAGCTTTGGGATCAATGTCCAATTTTCTTGTTTTGCCTGTAGCAACCTAGAGACCCATCTTATTTTAAGAGAGGAGAAGTAGCTTTTTATGTCGATCATATTTAGCCCTCCCTGGTTGTAATCTGCTACCAATGTATATCTTTTGATTTCATCTTTTTTACCATCCCATATAAAACTAAAGATTTCTCTTCCTAGTTCAAGTATATTTGAGTTACTTAAAACTGTAACGTTCGCTAAAAAAGTAAATTGTGGTATAATGAGGGTTTTAACTATTATAATTTTACCTAAAATTGTTAAGTTTCTTTTTTTCCACGATGAAATTAGATTTCGACTCTTTTCATATCTAGTATCCCAATTCAATTTTTCACAATCTTTTTTATTAATGCCGAAATACATTCCTAACACTTTTACGGATTTATCCGTGAAATTTATTTCATCTACTTTATCCCTACAATGTTTGAGTTTACCAATCCAGATTCCTTCTGTTTTATTTTTATTTAGTTGTAGTACGGAAAAAGTTCCAAAAATTTCGATTATATTTAATGCTGTTCGGATTTCTTCTTTCGATTTGAGGAATAGAGTTGTATCATCAGCAACTTGCGTGATTTTCAAGCTATGTGTTTTACTATCAATTTTTAATTCTATGCCTCTTATATTTTTGTTTTGCCTTAGTTGGTTGGCCATTATTTCTACTGACATTACAAAAAGTAGAGAAGAGCACGGGCATCCCTGCCGGATACCTCTAAGGGGTCCAAAAGGGGCAGATATCCACCCGTTTTTAAATATAGTGCTATTTATATTTGTATACAAGGTTCTTATCTAATTTATGAAGGGTTTATTAAAACCAAAATATTCTAAAGTATGATACATAAAATTCCATTCTAATGTGTCGAAAGCTTTCGAAAAATCTATGAATAAAATAGCACCTTCTATATTGAACTTATCTACGTAATCTATTACATCTTGTATTTGGCGTAGATTAAAACCTATGAATCTGTTCTTGATGTATCCTGTTTGATCAGCATTAATGATTAGATTTAGGATTTTTTTTATTCTTAAAGCTAAAGTGTAGGAGAGTATTTTATAATCACTATTTAATAATGATATTGGTCTGTAGTTTGTGAGTTCCAACGGATCATTTTTTTTATAAATTAGATTCAGTAAACTTTGTCTTTGCGTAAATGGCAGTTGTATATTTTCAAAGCTAAAGTTAAAAATTTTTACAGGTAGAGGTCCAAGAAGTCCCCAATTTTTTTTTAAAAAGTTAATGCTTATCACGTCCATTCCTGGACTTTTGTTTAATTTTAGATTATTGACTGCAATAGTTAATTCTTCTAGCGTTACGTATCCGTCACAAGATTTACTTTCTTCTTCTTCTGATTATTTATAATTGCGTTTTGTTTCAGTAATGCATTTCTGAACATCTATATCCGGTTTTTGTTTAGTGTCGTATAAATTAGCACAAACATCCCTATCAAGCTTTATTGCATGATTTTTTTTATTATTAATTGTTTTGGCTTTTAACTAGCTGTCAGTAACTGCGAGTACTCTCAAATCGTACTTTCTTGTTTATTTGACCTGTTGATACTAATTGTATTGCTTTTTTGTTATTTAATTTTATTCAGGGTTTTATCTGGTCTATATACCAGCTTTGATAAGTGTTTGGTATAACTATAAATTTTCACTTCGTACTATGAACATCAAAATTATTTATTTTGTAATAATATTTCCTTTCTCTATTGGTACTGTACACGTATACCTAACAACAAAATTATTTTCATTTACCTGTGTTTAAAGTTATTGCAAATGAATGGTATTTTTGTTCGAGCATATTGTTTTTCTTTAATTGTTTAACATTTCTTACCGATATAACATGTTACTTTTATTATTCTTCCCTTAGTTTATTTTGTTTTCAAAATTATTTATTTTGTAAAATTATTTCCTTTCTCTATTGGTACTGTACAGGTATACCTTACAAGAAAATTATTTTCGTTTACCTGTGTTTAAAGTTATTGCAAATGGACGGTATTTTTGTTCGAGCATATTGTTTTTCTTTAATTGTTTAACATTTCTTACCGATATAACATGTTACTTTTATTATTCTTCCCTTAGTTTATTTATTTTGTATTTACATTGTGTCATAGGTCAAATTTATTTGTTCAGTGTATGTTCAATGGTGTTAATATGTCCTTTGATTGAGTTAAGCTATTTCAGTTGATATTTTATAGTGTGTCTCTCTATGTTGTGATGTTACACTATTGTTTCAGATAAAGGGTGAAGGTTTGGTACCATTAAAACGTTTAAACCCGCTGCATTTGTTTGCACCTGTCCTAAGTCAGGAATCTGATGTTCAGTAGTTGTCGTTTGTTGATGTGGTTCATAAGTTTTTCTCGTTTCTCGTTTTTTATATAGATTAAACCGTTGGTTTTCCCGTTTGAATGGTTTTACACTAGTAATTTTTTGGGGCCCTTTATAGCTTACTGTTTGGTGTGAGCCAAGGCTCCGTGTTGAAGACCGTACTGTGACCTATAATGGTTTACTTTTATAGATTTTGACTTGGATGGAGAGTTGTCTCATTGGCACTCATATCACATCTTCTTATATCTAATTAATATTTTATCTTGATCTGTTACTATTTCCCCATTATTGTTTCTCAGTTTAAGTATTGTCTTTTCGTTTGTTTAGATTTTTCAAGACCTAGGAAATACGCGTTATTTTTTTCTCCTTTTTCTACCCACTCTTGTTTTGATCTTATTTGAGCTCCTTTAGCTTTGTATTCATATTGGTTTTCTAGCTCTTTTTCTAATGTGGATATTTTTCTTTTATAAAATCATTTTCCTCATTATTTGATTTCTCATATAATATTTTTAGTTGTGATTCTAAATTACGTGTTACATTTTTCCTATTTTTTGCTTTAATTTTACTATACTTAATACTATATTCCTTTTATTTCCAATTTGAAGGAGTCCCACAGAAGTCTTGGATCTATTTCACTTTTTTTCTATCTTATTACTATGTTTTTGTATTATTTTACTTATATTGCATTCATAATCTTGCTCGTCGAGGATACCGTTATTAATTTTCCAGTAACCCGGGCCTGTAGTTTCAGTTGAGACAGATTGTAATTGTATGGAAACTGCTTGGTGGCCAGTGCTTTTAATAAGAATAGGCCTAATATCACACGACTTAACGTTTAACATGAAATCTTTTTTTACTAGGAACATGTCAATTCGACTAGACTGGACTGGATGTTTACGTCTCCATGTATATTGGATCTTTTGGGGTTTAACGTATCTCCATATATCTATTAAGTCATTTGATTTTATTAAATATTTTAGGCTATTGACTGGTTTACTAACTTTTTTACGAGTATTTGAATTTTTCCTATCTACATTTTTAAAGGCATCATTCATGTCTCCTCCTAAAATTATTGTACCTATTGCTTTTTTGTTTATAAAATCATATAATTCGTTGTAAAAGCTATTTCGTTCAGATTCTATATTTGGGGCATATATGTTTATAAGAGAATAGATTATATTTTCAAATTCGATATTTATCATGATTATTCGACCTTCTAAATCTTAATGCTCATCTATTAATTTATAGTCTAATTCTTTATTAATTAATATAGCTACCCCTTTGCTTGATGTCCCATGGCTATAATAAAAAGAATGATCTGATTCAATAGTTAGAACGTTTTCTAGAGATGTATTGAAGTGAGTTTCTTGAATAAAAGACATTTTACATTTCTGATTTTTTATCCATTGGTAAAATCTCGATCTCTTTTGTTTATCTCGAAGTCCTTTAACATTAGTTGTACAAATGTGGAGGTTATTTAACATGTTTTAATTAAAACAAATAAGTAACTTAAAGTTGATTTTTATGTCAATTTTTGTTTTTGGTATTATCAAATATACTTCTGTTAATAGTATCATATACATGAAAATATATGGTATAATGCAATATGTGCAAAATTTCACGTTTCTTTTTTTTATATTTACTCTTGTTACATTTGTTTTGGAATCTTTATTCCATTCAATTATCTTTCTATAAATACTAAATACACACAAACATAAATACAAGAGACAAGACATATAAACATACATATTTTGTTTTTGTTTTTTTGTTTTTTTTTGTTATACATAAAATGTTTCTATAATTTATAGATGGACTGATTGTCTTTTCCCATCTGGTTGATTGGGAGTAGGTGGGGTTCTTTCCTTAGCAGCATTTGTTTTACTGTTTGGGGTTAAAAATTTTGAAATGTCAGATTGTGCAGATGAAGAATCTTTTTTTGTTTCTGTCTGTTTTGATGTCTGTTGTTTAGAAAAGTCACTTGAAGTTTTGTTTCCTTCCTTTTTTGCAGACTTTTTTGCCTTCTTTTTTTCTTTATTTGCATCTGCTGCTGTTATTTCTTTGTTCAATGACATAGAATGTGTCAGGTTGTCTTCGTCTTCTCCATCTGTTAGTTCAGGTTGTTCATCAGTATCATCTCTTTTGTTATTTTCTGTAAGAGCTTGAATTTGTTGGCTTTCTTCAGTATTTGTATTTTCATTAACATTAGCTGTTGTTGTTTCTTGTTGCTCATCTCTTTCTGTTTCAGAATTTTTCCCCATCTTTGCAAAAAAGGTAGGGCAGTCAAACATCTTATGACCATATTCATTGAATAGTCTGCATTTCCATTCATTTGGACAGTTTTTTATATTATGACCTTTCAGTTGACATTTGTTGCACAAGAACATGTCTGTATCTTTCATTTGACCAAAGTGATATATTCCTGCTGTGTATTGACCTATTGTAAGAAACCTTGGGAGTGGTTTGTCAAATTTTTTGCATATGACTACTCTGTCTCCTGTCTAGCAGTTGGTAACCAAGTTATCAACCCTGAGTCTTTCTCTGTTTATAGTGAAAACTTCTATGTTTCTTTGTCTTAAATCTCTGTTAAAACAAATTATTATTGTGATGAAGAGTAACATATCCACTAATGTTCAAATTTTTTTAAGACAGAAATATTGTGTTCAATTGGGAACTACGATCTATGTAATTGAAATTATAATAAAAATTGTCTCCCTTATATAATGTCAAGCAAATACCTGTTATCATGTCAAAACCTTTGATTTATATTAATTCCATCAAATATCAACTCTTTTTATTTTATTTCAATTAAAAAATTCAAACCCAAAGCAACAATGTATTATTTCATTTTGTGAAAATGAGAAATATGTGTATATATAGTTTTTACTTACAAAAGGGTCAGGTGTTTGCGTTTCAGTAAAATCAATTGATTCATTCTTTCATTCTAAGTTTTTTGTTATATTGTTCATGTAATGTAACATTTCCGACATTTTGCAGGTTTTTTTTTCAAAAGCAATGAAGAGCGTAAGACATCATGCATATTACTGAGAATAAAAAACAGCTAATTTAAAACTCTCTTGCCATGCACATATTAAGCTTCAAGCAAAACAACAAAAACAAATAACATATAAATAAAAGCTATACGCTAGCAGAAAAGTAGTTCATAAAGCGTGTTAGAGCTATAAGATTGCATTTCCTTTATTTTTTCCTACAATGAGTTCTTAGGAAATCTTTGTTAAGAGAGCATCAATTATTCATTCAAATCTTTTTTGTAATAAGATCACCTTTTTTCATGGTATTATTTGCGACCGGATGACTGTAAAAAGGGGTCTGTTGCATAGGGTTACATTATATACGGGCTTGTAATGGTGAATTTTGTATAAAATTTTACAATTTCTGGGATCTGTTATCTAAAGTTTTCGTACATGTGAGCCTTCGAGCAGTCATTTTAGTGTGGAAAAATGTAGGTTATTGTGGTCTTAAATTTTGAATGTATATAAATATAAGACATATAGATAGTTCAAACTAGTATCTTATCTGGGCTATTTTTGTGGAGTGTGAAAAACATACCTGCTTGTACCAATAAGTAAACTAAAAAGGCAGAATACATGCTGGAAAGCAATAAAAGAGAAACAGTTGTAATAAACAAAAATAAGTAAAAAATACACACAAAAAAAAAAGAAAAAAAAGAAACAACATTAACACATCTATACTTACTGGTATGTCAAACCCTAAAAAATATTCAAGTATTATATATACATTTTTGTATATTTAATATAATGTTTATGAACACAAATATTTTGACCTAACATGTAAATATACAACAAAACAGAGATATATGGCTACAATTTGTATACCGCTTGTCCTACAATGTACATGTACACGAAATGATTAGACACAACTGATGTCTTTACGCACGTTCCAGACATCACGTGCATTTAGACGGGTTTCTAGAACCAAATGTACACCTCTTGCTCTTATTTTAGTTTGTAGTTTCTCGTTTGTCCTGATGTTATACGCAATTTTAGCAAGATCATTACGTGCCTCTTTCATAATATAGATAAGAAGATGTGGTATGAGTGCCAATGAGACAACTATTCATCCAAGTCACAATGTGTAAAAAGTAGAACAATTATAGGTCAAAGTACGGCCTTCAAAACGGAGCCTTGGCTCACACCGAACAGCAAGCTATAAAGGGTCCCAAAAAGACTAGCGTAAAACAATTTAAACAGGAAAACCAACGGTCTTATCTATATAAAAAACGAGAAACGAGAAACACTTATGAACCACACCAACAAACGAAAACCACTGAACAACATGCTCCTAACTTAGGACAGGTGCATAAAAATAAAGCGGGTTTAAACGTTTTAGCAGGCGCCAACCTTCACCCTAACCAGAAACAGGGGTATAACATTACAACATCAAAATACAGACACTAGAATATTAATGACTGGTAGATCGTCAACAATTCTTATTTTTCTGTTTGCAACTTTGTAGGCATTAGCCATAACACATTGCTTGTCACTATAATGCATGAAACTTACAATAATTGCATCAGGGCATTTTGTACCAACCACAGGAACTTTCGACGGAATCCTATGTGCATTTGCAATGGGAAAATGGTCGGCTTTAATTTTTCAATGCCAAGATCTTCAAAAAAAAACTGCACTGCCAAAAACTATCTCGATTCAGTAGCTACGGATGTTGTATTTCCTATCATGTTTCTCAAGCAGTACCTGACTTTCGTTGAGTGAAGTTGTCTATGTCTATTTTGAGCGCTTCCAATTTCTCTGTTTCTAAACAATTAAACTGAGATTCTAAGTGTCCTACACCTCTGTCGAGCTCATTGTGGTCTCGCATAAGTTGTTCTACCACCTTTTTGTGTCATATTGTTGTCGGATTTCACTTGTCCTACCTTGGATTTAACGTCACCAATTAGCTCAGTCAAGTTTTTCTCCATGGAGTCTAGTCTAGATGAGAAATTGGTTACTTTAGTGTCTATTACCATCATAATACATTTAAGATCAGCGAAATCTTCTTTTGTCGTCATCGTTCAACGATACAATATTACCATTCAATCAGTCAATGTATTTGTATTCAATATTTAACTCTACAGTAATTATTTGTGTACACAATATTCTGAGTTTAAACCATTTTCATTATTAAAGTTATAAAACTATTAGTTTCATTTTTCAACTGCACAATCACATTCTAAATAGATATATATCTCTTTTTATAGCTCAGAATTTTCATTCGAAACTTGTCAATTCGTAACTTGTAACTGTGTAATTTTTAAATTCTTAATTCGTAAATTGTTAATGTGTAACTCGTTACTGTGAAATTTCATAATGCTTACAATAATTGCATCAGGGCATTTTGTACCAACCACAGGAACTTTCGACGGAATCCTATGTGCATTTGCAATGGGAAAATTGTCGGCTTTTAATTTTTCAATGCCAAGATCTTTTAAAAAAAAACTTATCAAGCACTGCCAAAAACTATCTCGATTCAGTAGCTACGGATGTTGTATTTCCTATTATGTTTCTCAAGCAGTACTTGACTTTCTTTGAGTGAAGTTGTCTATGTCTATTTTGAGCGCTTCCAATTTCTCTGTTTCTAAACAATTAAACTGAGATTCTAAGTGTCCTACACCTCTCTCGAGCTCATTGTGGTCTCGCCTCAGTTGTTCTACCTTGTTTTGTGTCATACTGATGTTGGATTTTACTTGTCCTACCTTGGATTTAACGTTACCAATTAGCTCAGTCAAGTTTTTCTCCATGGAGTCTAGCCTAGATGAGAAATTGGTTACCTTAGTGTCTATACCCATCATAATACATTTAAGATGAGCGAAATCTTCTTTTGTCGTTATCGCTCAACGATACAATATTACCATTCAATCAGTCAATGTATTTGTATTCAATATTTAACTCTACAGTAATTATTAGTGTACACAATATTCTGAGTTTAAACCATTTTCATTATTAAAGTTATAAAACTATTAGTTTCATTTTTCAACTGCACTATCACATTCTAAAAGGATATATTATTCTTTTTTCAGCTCATAATTTTCATGGGCGCCGCCATGACAGGGGGTGATAAAATGAAAGTTATTTATTTGAACTTGCAGTAATCATGTGTTTTAGAAAAATAATGCCCTTATTTTATGGAAAGCCAACGGGGTCAAAATTCTTAATTCGAAACTTGTCAATTAGTAACTTGTAACTGTATAATTTCTAAATTCTTAATTCGTAAATTGTTAATTTGTAACTCGTTACGGTGAAATTTCATAATGCTTACAATAATTGCATCAGGGCATTTTGTACCAACCACAGGAACTTTCGACGGAATCCTATGTGCATTTGCAATGGGAAAATTGTCGGCTTTAATTTTTCAATGCCAAGATCTTTAAAAAAAAAACTTATCAAGCACTGCCAAAAACTATCTCGATTCAGTAGCTACGGATGTTGTATTTCCTATCATGTTTCTCAAGCAGTACCTGACTTTCTTTGAGTGAAGTTGTCTATGTCTATTTTGAGCGCTTCCAATTTCTCTGTTTCTAAACATTTAAACTGAGATTCTAAGTGTCCTACACCTCTGTCGAGCTCATTTTGGTCTCGCCTCAGTTGTTCTACCTCGTTTTGTGTCATACTGATGTTGGATTTCACTTCTCCTACCTTGGATTTAACGTCACCAATTAGCTCAGTCAAGTTTTTCTCCATGGAGTCTAGCCTAGATGAGAAATTGGTTACCTTAGTGTCTATACCCATCATAATACATTTAAGATCAGCGAAATCTTCTTTTGTCGTCATCGCTCAACGATACAATATTACCATTCAATCACTCAATGTATTTGTATTCAATATTTAACTCTACAGTAATTATTTGTGTACACAATATTCTGAGTTTAAACCATTTTCATTATTAAAATATAAAACTGTTAGTTTCATTTTTCAACTGCACAATCACATTCTGAATGGATATATTACTCTTTTTTCAGCTCAGAATTTTCAAGGGCGCCGCCATGACAGGGAGCGATACAATGAAAGTTATTCATTTGAACTTGCAGTAATCATGTGTTTTAGAAAAATAATGCCGTTATTTTATGGAAAGCCAACGGGGTAAAAATTCTTAATTCGAAACTTGTCAATTCGTAACTTGTGTACTGTGTAATTTCGAAAAACTTAATTCGTAAATTGTTAATTTGTAACTTGTTACTGTGAAATTTCATAATGCTTAATTCGTAAATTGTCAATTTGTAACT